AAATATATAGGAAGGTATCTTCTGATGAAGAACTGCAAAGCCATGATTAGTCATTTTGATATGGAAGCATCTTCAGGTAGTGTAGATTCAAGTTTGACCCCTGGGGATAGGGATGGGCCACAATGGGGGATCAAAAATTTTTTTCATAGGAACATATTGGAAAATATCTTCTTCTCAAGAAATGAAAATCATGTTTAGTCATTTTGATATGGAAGCATCCTCAGGTAGTGTAAATTCAATTTTTTTTCAATTGATAACCCCCAGGGGTAGTTTGGGGCCCAATGGGGAACGAAAGTTTTCCATAAGAACACATAGAAAAAATATTTCTTCTCAAGAACAGAAAAGCTATTGTCACAGATTGTCGAGCGGATTTATCTTTTAACTAATTAAAATACAACTCAAATGCTTTTGTTTACAATTTACATGTTTAATTAATGATGATACTATATACAAATGTCATTGTTGTTGTTTGTCGTAATTTCCCGTCTCGCCGCTGGCTTTTCCACCTCACAGGCTGGAGGATGGACTCTAGGTTCCAAAGCTGGCTGGCCTATCTACTACACACCATGGGCGGACTTTAGGCACTAGGTGGCCTCACTGTTGTACAAAAACTCTGACATGTGGATGGAACCTGCTCCAACATATACATACAAGTTTTACTTACAAGCTCTAGTGGCTTTACACAAATACCCATTACACTCATTATCAGATTTATCGATAATGGACACGTCTTAGATAAGACTCAATTACACACACATGAGTTGTTTAAATTATACATACAACTCTTACACAAATGCAATATTGCGAATTGCTACTTTACGGACAACAATTTTGACAGAAATTGTACACCGTACTTTGAAATATTTAAATACGTGTTACTATAGATAGAAATCAAATTAAAGGAAACACACATGCTAAAAATGATGAGAAATGCGGTGACTGGATGTTTTAGGACAAATGAATAATATATAGGAAATAACTAAAATAGAATTATAAATATAAGCCTTACCTCAGAAAAGCTGGACCATTACACTGCTAAAAATAATATCACACCAGAGCAAGCACTGCCATGAATCACAAGGGTACATACATGTAAAAAACAAAGACATAAGAGGAGATAGAGGCGTCCTCCTCTCTGGACTGCCGCGTCCAAAACTAACTGGCACGGACTGGTGGGTTTTAAGGTCCAGTGAATTGAGGTTCAGTGAAGGATATGTACAGTGATAACACATTTAAAACGAAGGGGTTCCCCAAGGGATATTTACATGAAGTTTAAAATATGTTAGGATGATTTTAATGTGACAGCTATGTTTAGTCATATTGATATGGAAGCATAGTGTAGATTCAAGTTTGTTCAAATGATGACCTCGGGGATAGGGAGGAGCCACAATGGGGGATCAAAATTTTACAAAGGAATATATGGGAAATTTTTTTTAAAATCTTCTCAAGTACAACAAAGCCATTTGTTATATTGACATGGAAGCATCATCAGGTAGTTTAAAATTCACCCCCTCCCCCAACCCCCAGTGATCTTTTCAATACTGAACTGATTTGTGTCTAGCTAATGTGCTCAGGTGAGCGATGTGGCCCATGGGCCTCTTGTATATACATTTAATACTTCAGAGATGTAAAAATGAAAGATTCTTACTATCGATTTTCATCACTTCCACATTAAGCGTTACGCATGAGTGACCCGAGGCACAGGTACACAATAAATACTTGAAGTAGGTCTACCTGGCTTTAACATCTTCATGTTATAAAGCATAATATTTTTTCTGTGACATCATAAGTTGCATCCTTCATTCATTTATATAGTGTTTTACTTCACACATAGTGTACCATCTCAAACAGCTCATTAAAAACTAAAACAATATTCTGAGAGTAAAAGAAAACATTTTATTCACTTCTGAATAAGTTATTTCCCTTGCTTGATAGTGGAGACAGGGCCATATCCCCTAGTATGTTGTTCCCAGGGACTAATCCTAGCCTTCCCTCCCACATACCTATTCAAATGGCAGCTGCGCCAGCCCAAGGATACGCATCATCGATTGTCTCAACTGGACCGTTTCCAACTCCAGTCATCCAGAACTCAGGAAGTCGGGTCTCTATCCCCCAGAGTCTTACCAGTCAACCGAGTCAGAATGTTTTCCCCCTCTCCCCTCACTCGCTCGGTGGACAGGTTAGCCAGACAGTGTTTCCAGCACCTCTTGGAAGTCAGGCATGTGGATCAAGTGGGGTTTACCCTACCTCTGTGGGGAGTCGTCTTACTCATGCCACAGTGTTCCCCACCCTTGGGAGTGGGGGAGGAATTCGCCAGTCTGTCCCCACCCACTACTATGCCCCGGGAAGCAGCACTCCACATCTGGCTGTTCCAATGAACCATAATCTACTACACATGTCAGGTAAGAATGTTCATATGTTTATAAGTCTATATATAGAGGCACATTGAAAAGAAAGCTTTGTTATAGCCTGGTTTTCATTCCCTAAAATGTAAAATAAGTATAGAAATAGTCTTTTATTAACGCTTAGAATAGTTTATAAAATATTTTTTTTTTAACTTTATGAATTTATTATAATTTGAAAATAAGGAAAAAGAGTGTAAAATTCTTTTTTTTAAAAAAAAAAAAAAAAAAGAGATAAATTCTAGATCTGTAAGCTAGCATTCAAAAATAATAAATCTTGATCATTTCTAGAATCTGTTAGGTAAAACATTTAAAAAAATAAAAAAAGAATTTGCTTCAGGAATATTTTTTCTTTCAAGAACTTGTCTGTATTAATATGTCACCTTACAAAACTTGAATTGCTGTATAACAAAAAACAACAAACAAACAAACAAAACCAAAAAAAAAAAAAAAAACAACAAAACAAAACAAAAACCAAATTAATGTGCCTTTCCTTGGGTTTAATAATTGCTTTAATACTGTTTTTGTTTTTTGAGATGACCTGATATGTACAATTAGTTTTGTACAGTACATTAGAAAGTTTAAAAAAACTACTCCTCCATATAGATATTAGATAAGGATGTAGTTCTCTTGATTCTGACTGACATTTATAATACAAAGTAATATCCTCTTGGAAATCTCAAACCTCTTAATTTGCACCGACAATTTCCATATGTGTTATTAAAATCACGAAGATAATGTTAAAACATATTTTATTTTATCATACTTTAGTCTTAGGTAAAAATGATTATGTAGCAGGACTTGTAAGATTTTGTTATGCTGTACATTACATGCACAACATGATTATGAATACCTTTTATTGTCCATCGTCTGTCTGTTTGTTTCTTTGTCAATAATTTTTCAAAATGCTACTCTCTCTCAAAAATTTTGTCCAATTTTAATGTTTCATTAATAGACTTCACAAAGATATTTGAATTCTCTTAACATGCTTAATTAATTTTTGATGACTGGTGTTGACATGGTTACTTAAAATTCAGATTTTTAAAAAAATTCTTTTAAAGTATTCCTCCTTCTACAGTTTGGTGAATCCAATAGAACTTGTTATACAAGTATAATACCACTGAAGATACATAATTCTGTATTACTCTGGTTTTTTGATTTCAACAAACAATAATGTCCTGGCTTAATAACAAAACCAAAAAAAATTTCTATGAAATCCTTACAAAATTCTGGATTAATAAACATTCAGAATTCACTAAAATGCATAATTCTTGTTATCTGTTTGTGATTTTGAACAACGGTGGTGCCATTCTGAAAACAGAAAAATTCTTTCAATTTGTAAAAGTTTATTATTAAATTTGCAAATAAATGCTCTGCTTCTATATACTCCTACCAGACAGATTCTTATGTTTTGTTAGTGAGCTTAAGTGACATTTCATATTTTGTCAGGTGGAGGCATTCCTCAGAGCCCAGTTTTAGCCTACCCAGGTACCCCATTCGTCATCAGTGGAGGACAGAGCCCAGGAATGCCTGGAACCTCCCATGCCTCTGGCCATATTCAGCTCCTTCCCCGACCCCCCGGTACTCCCAGTCCTGCTACCCCTCACCTTCTGAGTCCGGTCAGCCCCAGTATGCCAAAAGTAGTGGGACATATTCCCATCACCAATACTAGTCCAGGAAATCTTAATGGCAACAGTGGTAAGAGTCCTGTTATTATCATATAGAATTATGACTTGAATTTAAACAACTTATTAACTCGCAGCAAAGCCACTCATATGACTGAAAAAAAAATAATTTTTAGTTCAATACAATATCATAAACCAATTATTTTAGACATATTATAGTTATTGAAAAGTGTGTCTAATGGATTCATCCCCCTATTTTCTAGTCACTCTGGATTCTTATTTAATAGATGAATTAGTCATTCAAGTACCTGTACAGGGATATTGTACCTCTGTTTAAGGTGCTGTTATTTAAGTATCTGTACAGGTATATAAACTATATTGTACCTCTATTTAAGGTGCTGTTATTTAAGTACCTGTACAGGTATATTGTACCTCTATTTAAGGCGCAGTTATTTAAGTACCTGTACAGGTATATTGTACCTCTATCTAAGGTGCAGTTATTTAAGTATCTGTATAGGTATATTGTACCTCTGTTTAAGGTGCTGTTATTTAAGTACCTGTACAGATATATTGTACCTCTGTTTAAGGTGCTGTTATTTAAGTACCTGTACAGGTATATTGTACCTCTGTTTAAGGTGCTGTTATTTAAGTACTTGTACAGATATATTGTACCTCTATTTAAGGTGCTGTTATTTAAGTATCTGTACAGGTATATTGTACCTCTATTTAAGGTGCTGTTATTTAAGTACCTGTACAGGTATATTGTATAGATCTCTGTTTAAGGTGCTGAAATTTAAGTACATGTACAGGTATATTGTATAGATCTCTGTTTAAGGTGCTGTTATTTAAGTACCTGTAGAGGTATATTGTATAGATCTTTGTTTAAGGTGCTCCTATTTAAGTACCTGTACATGTATATTGTACCTCTGTTTAAGGTGCTGTTATTTAAGTACCTGTACAGGTATATTGTACCTCTATCTAAGGTGCAGTTATTTAAGTATCTGTATAGGTATATTGTACCTCTGTTTAAGGTGCTGTTATTTAAGTACCTGTACAGATCTATTGTACCTCTCTTTAAGTTGCTGTTATTTAAGTATATGTACAGGTATATTGTACCTCTGTTTAAGGTGCTGTTATTTAAGTACTTGTACAGATATATTGTACCTCTATTTAAGGTGCTGTTATTTAAGTATCTGTACAGGTATATTGTACCTCTATTTAAGGTGCTGTTATTTAAGTATCTGTACAGGTATATTGTACCTCTATTTAAGGTGCTGTTATTTAAGTATCTGTACAGGTATATTTTACCTCTGTTTAAGGTGCTGTTATTTAAGTACCTGTACAGGTATATTGAACCTCTGTGTAAGGTGCTGAAATTTAAGTACCTGTACAGGTATATTGTATAGATCTTTGTTTAAGGTGCTGAAATTTAAGTACCTGTACAGGTATGTTGTACCTCTATTTAAGGCGCAGTTATTTAATTACCTGTACAGGTATATTGTACCTCTATTTAAGGTGCTGTTATTTAAGTATCTGTACATGTATATTGTACCTCTGTTTAAGGTGCTGTTATTTAAGTACCTGTACAGGTATATCAGGGGTGTGCAATTAGCATCGCCCGATGCCCGGGACTACAATTTTTTGGGGTCGGGCTAGTAGTTTTGTGCACGGAGGTAGCCCCTTGGGCTAGTAAAAATTAAAACTACCAATGTAATACATGAAAATCACTATGGCGGTATTTTCACTCATTTTTTGCTATTAAATTCTCAAGCAATGAACAATTTTCGGCAGCATGCTCCTATTGTTTGTAAATCTCCATAATCTTATCCATTTTGCAGTACTACCTGAAGTAATTTACTTCCAAAAACGATCGTTATTATCTAATCCGAATTTCCTCTATTCCTCTGTTTATGGTAAATACACCTGCAGATATCTCATTAAATTATTTACGATCACTCAATCAACTGAAAATAAGTGTTATGTGGGTTACATAAAATATATTTCCAGCGTATTTAATGATTTAAAATGAAAAAATGATTGTCATTTCATTTGAGATAAGATAATTTATTTGAATTTATTTTTATTTTCTATCATAATTATTAATTTATATATGATTTAATTTTACTACTGAGAATTAAAAATAATCAAATTTATTTTAAACCCTGACTATTTCAACAATAAACTATTTCCTTTTAATATTAGTTGTTACCCCCCCCCCCCCCCCATTTGGGCTAGTAACTTTTTACTTGGGGCTAGTAACTTTATTGCTTCCACTAGCCCGTGGGCTAGTACTTAATTTTTTTAATTGCACACCCCTATATATTGAACCTCTGTTTAAGGTGCTGAAATTTAAGTACCTGTACAGGTATATTGTATAGATCTTTGTTTGAGGTGCTGAAATTTAAGTACCTGTACAGGTATGTTGTACCTCTATTTAAGGCGCAGTTATTTAAGTATCTGTACAGGTATATTGTACCTCTATTTAAGGCGCAGTTATTTAAGTATCTGTACATGTATATTGTACCTCTGTTTAAGGTGCTGTTATTTAAGTATCTGTACAGGTATATTGTACCTCTGTTTAAGGTGCTGTTATTTAAGTACCTGTAGAAGTATATTGAACCTCTGTTTAAGGTGCTGAAATTTAGGTACCTGTACAGGTATATTGTATAGATCTCTGTTTAAGGTGCTGAAATTTAAGTACCTGTACAGGTATATTGTACCTCTATTTAAGGCGCAGTTATTTAAGTATCTGTGCAGGTATATTGTACCTCTATTTAAGGCGCAGTTATTTAAGTATCTGTACAGGTATATTGTACCTCTATTTAAGGTGCTGTTATTTAAGTACCTGTACAGGTATATTGTACCTCCATTTAAGGTGCTGTTATTTAAGTACCTGTAGAGGTATATTGAACCTCTGTTTAAGGTGCTGAAATTTAAGTACCTGTACAGGTATATTGTATAGATCTCTGTTTAAGGTGCTGAAATTTAAGTACATGTACAGGTATATTGTATAGATCTCTGTTTAAGGTGCTGTTATTTAAGTACCTGTAGAGGTATATTGTATAGATCTTTGTTTAAGGTGCTCCTATTTAAGTACCTGTACATGTATATTGTACCTCTGTTTAAGGTGCTGTTATTTAAGTATCTGTACAGGTATATTGTACCTCTGTTTAAGGTGCTGTTATTCAAGTACCTATACAGGTATTTTGTACCTCTGTTAAAGGTGCCATTAGTCCTTGTGGAAACTTTCCCATGTCTGTGCCAGGAGGGTTGATCCTTTGTTCACCCATGGGAGCCAGTACATTATCAATGACAAGTACACCAAACTCCTCCCAGAATTCATTGGCAACAGAACCTGGAGAGGTCATAGGTCAGAAAGAGGAGAAGGCCACTGACATGTCACTTAACCCTGCTGAAGAGACAGAGGTTGAAATTAAACCTGAAGATAAAACTTCAAGTCAGGAGGAAGTCAAAGCCTGTGATAAGACAGAGAAGCAAACTGAGAAAGAGAAATCTGTTCACTTCAGAAATATGGATATGGGAAGCTATAATGAAGGTATCGTAGTTTCATTACTCATACATATGCATGATTGTGTTAAATATGTTGATTCCATTGCTTTCTGGATAAATTCATTTTATTGAAGGAGGCTATCAAATATTTGAAAGGATATCTATAGTTTACTGTTAAATTACGTAAAATTTTATTTTCACAATGTTTACCGGTATTACAAAAATGGTATACACTTAGTAAAAGTTATGTAATTTTTCCTCATCATTGGATATCAAGTTGAATGTTTTATTCGCTGTGAAGCATTTCTTGCTTTGAAATTTAACATTGATGATGTAAAAAATTGGATGATAATTTTAAAAATACATTGTACTTTTATATTAATTTTTCTTTAAGGTGTAATTCAGGGGTTGTTATGAAATCATGAAATATTCCTTAACATTAACTACTTTTCTTACATGTAGATGGGGTTCCAGTGGAGTACGATGATTCAGACTTTGTTTGGGAGGAATACTTAGATGAAACAGGTTCCATAGCTGTTCCCAATGAGGCTTTCAAGCATGTGAGTTCTTGTTTGAGCAGAGGTCAGATAATGAAATAATTAATTCAGAATCCCTATACATTAAACTGAAATTTTGTAGCCCCCAACCTAAATATCACAAACAAAAAATGAATCATAAATTTTCTGATGTTAAAAAATGTTTTCCATACATTGTAAACCTTTAGGTTGAGTACAGCTTAGAGAGTGGCTTTGTGAAAGGCATGAAATTAGAAGTGCCAAATAAATGTAACCTTGGAACCTACTGGGTAACCTCTGTAATCATGACCTGTGGACCACTATTGAGGTTACGCTTCGATGGGTATGAGGAGGATTCTTCTGCTGATTTCTGGTGTGACCTAATTTCCTCAGAAATTCATCCAATCGGATGGTGTGCTCAAAACAACCAAGTTCTGCAGCCCCCAGAGGGTAAGCTGAAGATGCTTGTAGAGAAATACTAAATGTGTACTTTGTAGAGTGCATATGTTGTTGATTTAAAAAAAAGGGGGGGGGGAGGGAAATTGCATGCAATTCTGAAAGAAGATGCTTTTGAATACCTCTCTATTAATCATCTATTACAGTAACAGTAAAAAGGGGTTTTGTTTTGGGGGAGGGGATGAATTGATCGAAAAAGATAATGTGAAGATCGCTGAAAGAATCAGCAGATATATGTACTGTATTTATTAACAAACTGACTTCAACTTGAGCATTTAATTGCAGCTATTAAGGATAAGTTTGATGATTGGAGGGAATTTCTGGTGAAATCCCTGACAGGGGCAAGAACTGCACCTTCATTTTTATTGGATAAGGTAGGGAAAACATTGACAAATAAACTATTTTATAAAATAAAGAATTATTGCGAAAAAAATTATTCCACAAATTTAGTCCATGATCAGAGAATATCAAATCACTTTTTACACGTGATTTTTAAGATGTGTCTTAATATACAACAAGGTTAAAAAAACGTAATAATTCTCATCTCAGCATGAATTTGTCTTATCTAATAGAGTTCTGAAATTTTTTGACATTTTTTGCAACAGAAAAAGATTCAAGATCTGTCCTCTCTTTATATAAAGTACATGTGTCTTGTTTTAATACCAGTGAAGCATAAAATTTGTCAGACAAGAACACCAGTAAAAACAGCATTTTTCACATGGCCAGATACACTTTTAGTCGACAGGTACAACACCAGTAGACCAACTGAAGCGAGGAATGAGGTTAGAACTTCAGCATGCAATCAACCCCACAGATATATGGCTGGTAAAAATTATAGAGAATGTAGGAGGACGGCTATACCTGAGGCTGGAGGGGGCTGAACCTGGCTCTAATGATTTCTGGCTTTTCTACCTGAACCACCGGCTTCATCCAATTGGCTGGGCAAAGACCAATGGCTACAAGTATAGCCCCCCACAAGGTAATATCAAATTTTATTATATAGTCTATAAATAGCCCCTATATAATCTATACAACCGCAAACAGTTCATAATACTACATATTCACTGGATTTGAAGCCGTATTCACCAGAGGGTCAGTGCGCGTGCAGCGGCATTGTGACGTCACAACCAATACCTAAAACAACGTTGAAAACAATGGTTGCAATGGCTGGAGCCAGCTGTATATCTGAGCAGGAAAACTTTTAGGCAAATTTCTCTTAGGATTATTTTCCAAACATTTCGATGTCTTACACACAGCAAAAGGAAAACACAGAACTTATAAGTTATAATCTGGACATTTTTTTTTAATTTTTTCTACGACAGAAGATTGTTAATGAAAATGGAGTCATCATGCAGCCTTCAATGTCTTATTCATTCAAATCCTGACTATATAATAAAACAATTATGGACTCTTTCGGTGGTGAATATGGTTTGTTATTCACCAGAAAAATATCAATATTGACCCCCACATGGTAAAATCAAATTATAGCCCCCCACAAGGTAATATCAAATATCAGCATATTGTCTGAGGATATAAAATCAACATAAATTTATTTTGTTGCAGAAGAGGGTCTTCTTATATGGTAAGAGAAATGGAGGAAAAAAAAATAAATTTGTGTTCTTGATTAGCAATTTAAACCTTGTTTATTGAAAGAAGAAACTATTTTAGTCATATATTTTGTCTCAGGATAAAAACTTGCAAGGAGTTTGATTGGTGACTTTTATTCCTGTAGAATTAATTATGCAGTTTCAAGAGGAAGTAGACTGGATGAGTGTTTTGGAGAATGCTCTGAAAGAATCTGAGAAAATGATGTTGCCATTAGCTATATTTAAGGTATGTTATGGGGTGCTTTCAGCTGGGTTTCGATTATCACATGGCCAAACGCGGAATAAAAGAAATAATATTATATCACATTCACAGAGTTGAGTACGTAGATATCTCAAAGATATCAGAAAAAGATATTGAATTATCTAATCTGTTTTGTTAATCTGGTAAATACGTTTGTTTTAGGACCAAGAGGATATACATCCTCATCGGTTTAAGAGAGGTTGGAAACTAGAGGCCCTAAATCCTCTGTCAACAAACCAGATCTGCCCAGCAACTGTGATTAAGGTATTGGACTGTCGCTACTTTGTAGTAGAGATCGACAGTCTGAGAGAAGACTCTTATCCAATCAGATTCTCTTGTCACTCAAGGTCAAGGTTCATCTTTCCATGTGGATGGTGTCAGAAACATGATGTCAGCATTACACCTCCAAAAGGTGAATACTGATTGATCACATATATGTAACAGCAAATATCGACCTTTTCATCTTTAATTTTCTTTATTTGGGTGATCAATAATTTAACGATAATTAAATGTTATGATACAGGTATTATTGTCTGTAATGATTTTTGTTGTCAAGCTTACTTGTAAGTGAGAGAATCTAACTTGAGAATCACACATTTAACATACCAAAGATACTTATTCAGTTAGCATGAGTTGGTATGAGAGGCTTTTGCAATATTAGTGTAAATAAGTGACAACATTCTTTTTAATCAAAATAGGCTGGCACAAAAAAGAATTTTCTTGGCAAGAGTATCTGAGTTTCTGCAATGCAACTCCAGCTCCAGACTTTGTTGTGGTAAGGTTTAGCAACATTTTAATGAAGAATTTCTCTTTTTCAGTGTCAAGTGTACATATACATGTCTATGCATGTATTCCCATATATCAAGACATATTTAAAATACTTCTGGTACACTATTTGTATATTTTGTTGAGATTTAAATAATTATATTCATTTCTCTCAATATTCTAAAGCCACAAGATAAAAACCTTTTTGAGAAAGGAATGAAGCTCGAAGCAGTAAATCCTGAAAATCCTAATCAGATCTGTGCTGCCACGGTAACAAAAGTTGTGACCCCTCTTGTTTGGATTCACCTTGACAACCAGAGGAAGTCAGTAGAGAGCCATATTGAACACATGTATTCACATAACCTATTTCCTGTTGGATGGTGTGCCAGCAATGGGTACCCAATACAACCACCAAGGAAATTAAATAAAGCTGGAAGACCACCTAGTACAGTTGCTGAAAAGTGAGTAACTGAAATTAATAATGCATATACAACTATTTTTATGCTTAGACTTTTTCAATCGACCTCTGTTTATGCTATCTATGCCTTAGCGTAAATAGAGGTCTGGCTTTAGTCAGATTGGACTTTTTGTCAGTTACTTTTCACTTCTGATTTTTTACTGAAGCCGGTAAAGAAGCATTAACTATAAAATTATCTGTTATAATTGAAACCTGCCAAAGGTATAATAACTATTTTGAGGGGTAATATTACCATGACAAAGCAGACAATTTAATTCCTTTTTTTGGCATATTTTGTAGGAAACTAGTCAGTTTGACAGATGAAGCTTATTCACAGATGCAGCAAAATGAGGGTTTGTACTTTTATAATCTTTTGCAAAGAACTTTTATATGGAAGATTAATCCTATCTCAGATAAAATTCTTTTTTATTTTCAAATCAGTGATTATATTTTAAATGCAGAATTTTCCCAAAGTAATGTTCCTAGATTTTGTGCTTCTTTTTCCAGAAAATTCCTGGTGTCCAAAGATTTACTACAACCACAAGTGTTTCTCTGGTCCCTACCTCAGTAAAGGGAGGATAGCCTCCCTCCCTAAGTGTGTGGGGCCGGGTCCTGTGGGTCTAGTCATGAAGGAGGTCTTATCCAATCTCATCAATGTGGCATACAAGTCTTTCAGGGTGCTCAAAGAGCTACAGATAGAGGGGAAATCCAACCCAAGAATGCAGCAACAAACAATAAAAGCCAAGTAGGTCATTTGTTTGTTTTTTTTAAATTTTTGTTTGTTGTTTGTTCAACCTGCCAAAAAAGTAGCCTGTGTGATTCTTTTGTAAGACAACAATAATATTGTTATTCAAAATGAATGACAAAAAATGTCATGTATTGCAGATACAAGGGGAAAAGTTATAGAGCTGCTGTTGAAATTTGTCGTGACGTAAATGAGTTGGATGGCTTTTGTCGTCACATCTGTAAGAAGCTTGAGTGTTGTCCCAATCTTATTAGTCCCCGTCACCATGACGAAAAATGTCCGGAAAACTGTGATCAACTCAACAAAACAAAGTATAGTAAGTATTAATGTAGAGTATATATCACTAGGGAGAAGTGAACTGTGCTTTGTTTAAACATGTATATGGATGTTGCAAATATTAAAGGTAGTCTTTACATTTTTAAATGTTTTTCTCAAAGTTGTCTCTGTATCATTTGGAAAAAGCACAAAAAGATCATCTATGAATCATTTGGAATGCTTGCAAGTACATAATTTATATATTAGATTGATAAATTACTTTGAATGCTTTATTAAAGTGACATCATTTTGCTTTAGCTCAGTATTTTGGGAAGAAAATTCCTGGAAAAGTTGGTCGTCCACCTGGTGGCCACACTAACTTAGAAAATGGTCCAAAGAAACCTGGGAAGCGGGGCCGCAAGAGGAAAAAGCTTAACATACTAGATGAACGTGGGGATAACATTGAACGGGAGGAAAACAGCGAGGAGGATAGGGAGAGTGTGATAAGTGACACACAGACAGTGGCAAGTAATGACTCCAATGAAAATGACAGTAAAAAATTCAAACGAAAGTACACCCACCACATTCCTCCCCCCTCAGACATCAAAACTCGGGGGGCTAAGCTTCCCAAGTACAGTTTTGAGAGAAAGACTCACAAAAAGATTTTAATTCCTTCATCAATGATGTCAGAAGGTTCAAGTAGATTAGCTGCCAAACATCACAGTTCTGTGACACATGTGAGTTGTTTTCAAATATTTTCATGACTGTTTCCATTTCAGTTCACAAATATAATCTCTATAACTTTTTGAAATACTTCAGACTCATTACATTGTGTAAGATCAACAAAAATTTACAGGTGTAAGATGCAAATGTTACATTTTCTTATGTTGAATTTTCTTGGAAAATAGATCTCTCTGAATCTGACTTAAAAAATAAAAATCATCTGTATACTGTGGAATCATCATTGTTCGTGGGGGATCAATGTTCGTGGATTTCGTGGGTAACCCTTACCCACGAATTTACATCCCCACGAACAATTATTTTGTCAATGTACTGATTAATTAAATCTACCAAATAAAAGAGCTGCCCACGAAATTACATCCCCACGAACCAATAAAATTTTGCTTGCCCACGAACATTGATCCCCATGAATTTAAATGATTCCACAGTAATTTTTTTTTAACTTTTAATTTTTGACTATTAGAAAGCTGTACACACTACTTCTCCGGAGAAAAAGACAATACCAGACAGACTACACCTGACCACTAACCCTCTTAAGTGGTCAGTGAATGAGGTGGTCAAATTCCTCAAGACCACAGACTGTGCTAACCTTGCCAGGATTTGTAAAGAACAGGTAAAACATGTGTCAAATTTTCTGTAAAATCTGCATCTTTAATCATAATTTATATTTGGGGGGATGGGGCTTATACAGTTGAAAACAGTTCCATATAAGCAGAAATTTTAGTAAGGATTTAATTTTGGCATTATTAGTGAGGATTTTGAGATCGCTAAAATTGAATATCACTAACAATTTATACCGTATCAGTAATTAAAGCTAGCTTTCTTGACATTATATAATAGCTAAAATTACTTCTCACAAAAAATTTATACCAATATTTTGGGATAATTCGCTAAATTTGCATCTGGCTAAAAATTCCACTTATATGGTATATATGCATTTGATCATCATCTGATTAAATCTCTCACTCATAATCCATGTGCAAAAGCTGGGGCTATTACATGAATATTCAACTACATGTATCAATATTCAAGCAATACTAATATGGAACATGAATTTGTCTTCTCAGAAACTGACACCCCCAAATAATAATTTGATTTTTTTTTTGCAAGGGGGGAGAGTGTTGTATAAAATCCAAATTATAGTGATATTAATTAGGTAATGTATAATTGTGATGGACAAGTCTTTACTAATTTCTAGGACATAGATGGACAGGCTTTGCTGTTGCTGACCTTACCAGCAGTTCAGGAGTACATGGATCTAAAGCTAGGACCAGCTGTCAAGTTCTGCCACCAAATTGAGAGAGTTAAACTAGCTTTCTTCACTCAGTATGCCAAATGAACACTGCTCAAAATGATCAAATGTGGAGAACATCTGATATACTCATCCTCAAGGTTGTCTCTTTTTCAATGGTGCCATTTGTGAAATTTAAATGCATATTGAAATGATTTTGAGGGAATATGTACACGTATGTACAATGTATTAATGTTACATGTATATCATATGTGCATGTAGCTCGTGAAATTAATCCAATATCTGACAACAAGCTTAAAAATAGTGGGCATTTATGGTTTAATTACAAACGTTATGCTTCTTGTGTTGTCCTTCTGTGGGTAGCATTAACTTTTAAATCTGTGCATTTTGAATTACATGTGCAAAAAATAAAACAAGATGTTTTTTCTATTTATATTTTTCTATTCAGTGGTGTACTTGGTCGACTATTCTAGGTATTTACCTAAAAAACAAAACTTGTGTGAGAAATTGTTCACACATAGTTATATAACACCCACCCCAACATTCAGATACCTTTACCATGAAGAAAGATAATGGATTTGCATAATATGAATATTCCAAAAGATTTCAATGGAGCAGAAAAGTATGATGTACATGTAAAGAAATTTTCATGTGAGCCACATTTTTTCTTCATGACCTACTTATTCCGACATAGATTCTGCAGCATTGTTTTATGACCTAGTTATTACCCATATAGATTCTGCAGCATTGTTTTATGACCTAGTTGTTACCTACATAGATTCTGCAGCATTGTAGTATGACCTAGTTATTAATCACATAGATTCTGCAGCATTGTTTTATGACCTAGTTACATGTATTACCCACATAGATTCTGCAGCATTGTTTTATGTAGAAGAACATCATGATGAAATAAGTTTACAGTATTATAATGACATATGCATTTTGAAAGTTGTCTGAGAAATTGCACATTTATGCAATCTTACAACAGTTATTTTCTGTTTTAGAAACAGAAAGTTGGTTTTACAATGTAGTTGTGTGTTACATAGAAAGAATGAACATAATGAACATGTTACAACATGATAGGAATAAGAAAATTCCCTCAATTTAAGGTGCTATAACAGCAGTGCGTTATTTTTAGTGTTCATCATTCAGCTGTAAATATACTGTTGAGTTTTAGTGACATTGTGATCTTTGTTATTCATTACATTTCAGTTTGTTAAATCGTTTTAGAACATGATTTCTAAAGATTTCTTGTTCCAGTTGTTAATTTTTTTGCATTCATGTTTAGGATTTTTTTTGTCTTTTAAGGAAGAAATAAATACATAATATCTTGTATTCTGATTTGAAGTCGTTTCATTGATAACGCTGCACCCTGCCAGGATATACAAAAGTGTATGTATCAAATGGTGTCAAAAACAACTCTTGGGTACTCCGGCTCAATGACTCTCATCTATTAATAATGTTTGTATAAATACATTGTCATGTTCTATTGAACAAAGGCAAGAGTTGATGTAAATGTAATTTTTATGCCCCTCTTTGAAGAAGGGGGGGGGGTTAATTGCTTTGCTGCTGTCTGTCTTTTGGTCCACCAACAGTTTCTAGTTCATTTTCTTTTCAAAGGTTGCACATACTGAAATGAAATTTGGTATACAGATTTATCATAAGAATATCTAGGTCAAGTTCTGTTTTGGGTACGATCGATCAATTTTTGACAGAGTTATGCCCCTTGGATTTAGAAAAATTCTAATTATTTGCAGCAGTTTCCATTCATTTTCTTCGCAGAGGTTGCACATACTGAAATGAAATTTGGTATACAGATTTATCATAAAAAATATCTAGGTCAAGTTCTGTTTTGGGTACGATCGATCAATTTTTGACAGAGTTATGCCCCTTGGATTTAGAAAAATAATTATTTGCAGCAGTTTCCATTCATTTTCTTCGCAGAGGTTGCACATACTGAAATGAAATTTGGTATACAGATTTATCATAAGGATATATAGGTTCTGTTTTAGGTACGATCGAGCAATTTATGCCCCTTGGACTTAGAAAAATTCCGATTATTTGCTTTCCGTTCATTATCTCTGCAAAGGTTGAACAAATTTTAAAACTACTGATAGATCATGAGAAACGTGTTTTTGCCAAAGACGTGATGCAGAAGACTATTTCTGGTTGATACATATCAGATAGTACCGGTAGATGACCCCTTTTGATTTTAAGTTCAAAAGGTCAATTTCATTTCCATGTACACTGCCCATAATGTATACTGCCCATAATAAAAGCTTGTGCACCCTGTAATGTATGTCCAAGGGGGGGGGGGGGGGGAGGGGATAAGTTTTTCACAAATATCTCTTGTTTTTCAAAGGTTTATTAGGCATGTTGAGGATAACAGTGACCATAATTATGACTTCTGGAATGTCGAAAATTTTCCCCTTTAGATTGATTGATCAGCAAACATCCCTAATGAATTGTAAATTAAATTTCATTCTTGATCAGTGAGTTCTTTAATTTACAGTACAACATTCTTCACTTACTTTGGTCTATTATATCATCATTTGATCGGCTGATCGCTTTCAATCTGAAATATTTGTTCTTACTTCAGAATATCGCGTACAAGATCGTCAATTTCGTAGCCACTTTTCGTTGTGATCCGTAGCACAGGTACCTGACATATGAATGGTGCCCACCCACCCTCTGAGAATTTTTACCAGACGATAATTTATCCAAAATGCATGATTTTCTAGTCTATCATACCTCTATTTCGATTTCTGATATCATTTTCCGTTTTTGATAAGTTTCAGAGATTGTCCCTCAATGGGTATATAAAATAAGTTTTGCAAGTTGTGATAGTACAGTCTGAAAAATTTACAATATAGCTACAAATTGAGCTTACCATGTGCTTTAAGAAAAAACAGAGTCCTTTGGCTTAACATAATTTACAGACTAGCGCGCCACGTAGCGTTAATTTTGATAATGATTTTTAGCGCCATCTAGCGTCCATTCGGTGAATGACTGTTTTGCATCGGTGATCGTTCGTTTTGCAATCGAGTCTGTTAAATTAATTTGAAGTTTTTTTTGGTTTCAATATGTTTTTGGCGAAATTAATTGTTGGTTTTGCATCAATGTCTTTTTTATACCCCCCCCCCCCCCCAAAAAAAAAAAAAAAAAAAAAACAAAACAAAACAAAAAAAAAAACAAAACAAAACAAACAAACAAACAAAACTTGACAGTCTATTATGATAAATATTTCATGCAGCAAATTATTGTCGAAAATTATAATGATCCTTTGACATATTTGGCTCCAGTCTTTGGCATCTCCTTTTCTTTAAGCTCTTCAAAGTTTTTTTTTTGTTTAAATATTTCATATTACAACGTATCGAATAGATTTATTCGTACCGTATAGATTTACATTATGATCCCTTGGTCGAGACCTCTGCTGGTGGACTGTTAGTCCCCGAGGATTTCTGTAGCCCAGTATCTAAGTACTTCGGTACTAGCTTGAAAATACGGATATATATTTAATTGTTTTTGTTGTGGTAAAATTTAGAAATTTATTTCAAAATTAAGGATTATCTCCCTAATGCATAGCTCCGATCCTTCGATGTATCTGGCTCCATGCAGTCTTTGGCACCCCCTTTTTTCAGGTTTTCTCATTTTTTTTTTTTTTTAAATTTAAATATTTTGGATTTCCAGCGTTTCGGCATTAGCATCACTGAAGAGACATAATTTGTCGAAATGCGCATCTCCCTCATGCATAGCTCCGATCCTTCGATGTATTTGGCTCCAGTCTTTGTCACCCCCTTTTCTCAGGTTTTCAAACCTTTTTTTTTTTTTAAATATTTTGGATTTCCAACGTTTCGGCATAAGCATCACTGAAGATACATAATTTGTCGAAATGCGCATCTGGTTCATCAAAATTAGTATCGTATAAGATTTACATCCTTTCGCAAGTTCTACAGTTGATACAAAGACCTTGTCAGCAAATACAATCTGTCATTAAGTCAAATGCTGACTTATGTTTTTCATACTAATTGTTAGGCTATTATTTACACAACAAATTGTCTACGGATTTTTCCCGATGATGAGAAGGAGCACACGGCGGGTGTGACCGATCGGCAGGAGATGCTCACTCCTACATTGCACCTGATCCCACCTCTGATGTTTTATTAGAGTTACGTGTTTGCTTTGCTCCTGATTTGTATTGTTTGAATAGACGTATGAGCTTGAATACTGTTTAGTTACCTTCATATTTCATTGGATTGCAGCTATTATTACATGAGTTATTGACAGTATTTACAAGAAATAGAGTCCATGGGGAAAACTTGAATATGATATCTTGTCAAACACATTTACAAATACATGTATCGACTTTCAGACTCTAATAGAATGTTCCTCCATCCTGTTTTCCTACTCGGAAATATTGCTAAATAGTATTTATTACATTTTCAACAGTGAAATACTGTGATTTATTTATTGAATAAAAGTGATATTCTCTCACAGTGTGAAAGGATACCAAAATGATATTCTCTCACAGTGTGAAAGGATATCAAAGTAAGTAAAAAATAATTTCTGGCCTGTCATAAGATAGAGATAGTAACTATATAACCATCTTGATAGAGCTAAAGCTGCAAATTTCTTCCCAAATATATTGCTAAAATCCATGCTTTGTAATGTTTTCAACCTCACAACTGCAAAGCTGTGACGTCTCAACCGCTCAACTATGACGTCAAGTCTACGACACTGTGTTAAAAAAAAGACAGGGGCAAAGGGAAAATCAAAGAAAATGTAATAAACAGAAAATTCAATGTTTTGTAGATGAATGTGAAATTTATTTCACTCGTGAGACAGGATTTTTTGATATTTTCACTCGTGCATTGCACTCGTGAAAATATCAAAAAATCCTGTCCCACTCGTGAAATAAATTCCATATTCATCTATAAAACATTGAACATCCTCTACTAATTATTGAAAACCAATATTTTCTGATTACAATACGTGCTTCCTAGTTTAAATGAAAGGAAAATGTCATTAATAGTTTATAGATCGCTTTTCTACTTTAACCGTGGTGCATAGATATTACATTATAGGTAATTTATTTTGAAGCTAGAATTGAAGCCAATTCCACTCTGAAATAAAAAAAGGCTCATTAGTAACGAACTAACGATACCCACATGTCATAATTACTAGTATTTTTACTTGAATCTAAGCATCGTCTCAAGCCACGGTCCAGAGTTCGCTCATAGCTCTCTCCAGAATGGTAGAGGATCGTACATTAAGGCCGTGGTTTGAAGAAAACTGGGATGAAGCTTCATTTTTGTTATCCTGTGCTAATCAGAAGTCATGAATATAACTATGCATAAACTTCAGTTTTAAATAAATCTTTTATTTCTGTTACAAGTTCTTGACCCTGAAAGCCATCTTTGTTCAACCCC